AGCAGGCCAGAGGACACCTATGTTGTTTTCCTGCATATCTGGACAATCCACTTAAAGGTAATTGAGTTTTAAACTACATGAAATTACTTCAAGAATAGCATCACTAGAGGCTAAAGTCTCCTGGGAGGCTGGGGGAAGGGAGGAAAGAAACATAAAACTGTAGGGAACAGAAACGGGACAGGGCACGCAGCCTGAACCACGCTGAAGAGAGCATGCAGCTGAGCCAGTCTAAGGCATTCCTAATTTTGACAAACATGTAAATAGCTGGGCTGCAGACTCAAAGGTTTGTGTGGTTTCAGTTGGAGGAATAAAAGAGGAGTTAAATACATCCACACTTCTGTGCGTTTTTAACCACAACTGTAACATAAAGCACAGACCTCCAAGCACCAAAAAACTCCTATAGCCCTGTAAACACCAGGGACATAAAAGAAAACCAAATTACTTAAATGAAACAAATTTCTGTTGCATTTGCAAACTGCCACTCATGTGCAATGCATACGAGCACCTTCTACGTGTTAAAAGGAGCTTCACGTTAAAGCCGCCTCCCAGTCAGCAATGGTCACTACATGCACCAAGAAACAGAACAACGGTTCCACTGCCAGACCTTAGACTGGTTTTACACACCCTGATAAGCCCCAGAAATGCCAGAACATCACTCATTTCTGACAACCTTTGCTCTTTTTGACAGCTATTGCAATCTGAAGTAGAAGTATTGATAGGAAATAGTGATTTTAGCACTACTGCAACAGGTAAGATTGTTACAGTTTCCTTTGTTGTTCCTTTTTTACATTTGATTTGAGATTAGATTTAATAAAACTGTTTTAAATGTTCAGATATTCTAAACGCATTTTTACTAGTATGATAAGCAGACAACTCTGAAGCACTTTGTTCCCCACCTACAGAGGTAAAGCAAACTGATTGATTAGGAAAGTAGGCTTCGTGCACAGAAATTTACTGAAAGGTAAAAATTAATTCAGACTGCAAAGAAAAAACAGTTTCCACGTGAAAAAAAAAAAAAACAAAACAAAACAAAAGGAAAAAACAAAAAAAAAAACAAAAAAAAAAAAAACCAAAAAACAAAAACAAAACAAAAAAAAAAAACAGTTTAACAAAAGGAAAAGCAAAGGAGACCCTATCCCCATGAGCTAAGTGTCTGTCTTGTGCTATAGGGGATGCTCTTGCTTAGCTTACAAGTGAGAAACACTCTCTCCTCCCCCCTGCAAGCACACAAACTCCACAGCACTAATATGACACCTTAATGAGCCAACTTCCTTGAGCATTGCCCGGGAGACTAGAATGGGCATGCCTCTTAATTCAGAAACTGAGAAACAGGTCTGATTATCAGTCAGGCTGAAGAACATCTATGACCAAGACCATCCCAGGAAAAACACTCATGCTCAAGCTGAAAAGAAAACATGGATTGCCACAACCAGCATATTTTTATAGCCTTTGTGTAAACAAAAACTCTGGATTAGTCAGCATCTCAGCTAGCTCTATCTGGATTCCCTTCTTTTGAAATGAAATTAAGGAAAACACTCATCAGAAAAGGTCAGTGGCCAAACTATTACTAGGAAAAATTAAAAGCATAGAACATACATAGCCATTCATTAAATGCCTGCTGCCGTAAGTCTTAACAGCAGGCACAAGACAGACTTTTCACAGAACCTACACTTAATTTGCAGAACTGTTGAGGCAAACAGAACATTAACTAGAGTTGTATTTTTTTAACAAATTCTCAGTAGTCCCCTAGAGCTGCCCCCACCAATATCAGTGGTGTGAACCCAAGGCTCAGAGAGGAAAAAAAAGCTAAAGCAACTAGAAAGAATCCTGCCCCTGAAAGGCAGGACAGCAAAAGCTCTACCTGTTTCAAGTGTACACCTATGCAAAACAAATGGCTTGAGCACCTCAGGTTTTTAGAAAAACACTCAGCCTGGAAAATCAGCATGTCATAAGGCGAGTGCCCAAGTGGTAATTCACCTTACAGTGTCTCTAGAATACACTGTCATGGATCATCAACCACACTGAGTCATGCACCACAAGCAGCACTGCTTTCTACAAAACTCTGCTCCAAGCCAAGTTGCATTTCACTACAGTAAGTTTCCAAGACACAGCCCAGTCCTAATCTGAAAACATCCAGAATTAGAGATTTCACTGCATTCCAGAGTCAATTTTAACAGTGTGGCCAATTAACCACAGTGTGGAACATTGTGAACTTTAAGTCTGACTTGTTCCTTCAGTTCCTGTTTAGATCCTATTTGTTTAGCTAAGGCCACTGGTTCTTGCTGCATTTACTGTTACACAGTTCAGATTTGGCATGTTCTGTATTAAGGGGGTATGTGCTGTAAATTGAGTCAGATTTTAACCCCTTAAACTAGAGACCGAGGACAAAGCTCTGCAGAAGTATATCTTTCTGCCTGTGAATGGACCTTTGAACGTGGCTCCTCTTTGTGTTTTCTCATTTTCATATTCCAAATGCTGTTGGCAGAACTCTTCAGTCCATGAATCTTCAGAAATGCATTCAGAAGGAAAAGTCCTCTGCTGTTTACTTCTGCACTATTCACATACGCAAGGCCCCCACACATACATGCTGTGGCTATGGGGCAAACTGGTTTGCTTGCTTAGCTGAACTTCCAAATCCTCTTCACAGAGCCTGTTATTTACTCTTCTATTTATAATTTTGCATTTAGCCATATTAAAACACATTTCATTCAAATGAGGCCGGCTTCTCAAAGCAGCTCTGTAAACTGCCAACTTGCATGTCATCCATAAAAATTTAACATCTGCTTCCACACGCTGAACTGTGTCCTTGCAGAACACCCACCAACATACTCCCGTGCTGTGGTAACCAACAACTACTTTACAAATTACAAGTCAGCCCATTAATTCATTTGCTGGGCAGAATCCCAATTATATTATTGTGTAATCTGATTTCTCTATCATTCTAAAAATCAATGTCATGTAATAACTAAATCAAGGACTCTATGAAGAAAATATGGAAACATTCATCTTCCTCAACAAAACCTGTAATTTCATTGGTGTAAAACCTGCTTTGCTTGATGCAATCCATTTGCAATAAACAGTAGTCACCAACTTCAAACATTTCTACCCTTAACTTTATTATTAACTGCACTTATTCATCATTTTTTCTTAAATTGGTCTTTTTTAACCTATTTATCCTTTTTTAATCTAGGACCGAGGACAATCAGGGTGATGTTTTTTTATTGTCAAGTTAGAATTCAGTTAGAATATTTTTTAAACACAATAATTAAGTTTTTCTGTCCAATAGCTTTTCTACACAGACAGAAAATGTCTCACGAAGCTCCCCCAAATGCATAGATTTTAAAAGAAGGATGAAGATACATTTTATACTTCAGGGAAACAAGAAAACAATCTGCACCACTTTGCAAAAGCTGACACTTTTTCTGGAAAAATAAGCTGCAAACGCTTCTACCTTGTGAACTCTTTGAGGGATAATGAACACAGTACAGATAGCCCTGACAAAAATTGATTAATTGATGGGAGACTAGGTGTGAAGGACCGAGCCATGAATGTGTGTCTCAAAGATAGCCTTGGATGGAAGACTGGACTTGAGGAGCTGTGTGAGCTGGGCAGAACATGTCTGGGCATGCACCACGCTGAGAGGAGCCAAACACGTGTGTGTGAGTCACGGGCCGTTCCAGAGGACCCCCAGGGCACACTGCCAGCCTGCCCCCTCCCCCGCCCGGGGAGGTGCAGCGCGGGTGTGCGAATGGGGCAGGCCCCTCTGCCTGGGGTCACGCAGGGCACCTCGAGCAGGCGACACTCGCGTGGTACCTGCATGGACCTGAGGACTCGTGATGTCAGTTCCCAGCTCGGCCCCTATAACAACTGGCGCGGACACTGCTCTTGCGGACTCTTTTTTCTTCACCTGCTCAACGGAGAGCTTTTTTCCTTCTTCTGCGGCCTGCTCACGGATCGCCGGCCTGCTCACCGCCTCACTGCTGCTCCACTGCCCAGCCCCGAGGCTGAGACGGCTCCAGCCCAACGGTGCTGCAGGCCCGTGGTGGCCACTGCTCTGGCGACTCTCTACCGACCGCTTGCTTCATTTCTGCCTTTTATTTTCGCTCTGTCCTATCGCTACTCTTTCCTAACATTTTTCTCGTTTTGTAATAAAAACTGTATTGGGTATACGGCATTTGACCTCGTTTGTGTCTTAATCTTGCCTCTTGTGATCATATCGAAACCTCCCCCGACATCAGATCGGGACATTAGGTTGATGCAAAGATTTTTGTTTTGCTGACTTCTTGTTTTGTTGAGTAGGGTAAAGAGTGTTGGTTATTTTCAAGACATAGTTTACCATTATCAGTTCTAAAGTAGACAGTGTAACAAAAGCGCAGAGATTTAAAACAAAACAGGAAACCTGTAAGGTGAAAAAAAGATCAGAAACTCATGCTCCCACCTTTAAGCACCCTTCACCCCCCAAAAACATCTTTACATTGTCACACACAAGCTGATGCATACTTGTACCATGCTGTGATAAAGAAAAGGAATGCTGACAGATCTTTAGCTGTCACCGTAGCAGTAACACATTTGCAAAAATACCTGTTGCTTCCTAGAGTCCAGAAACAACCTCAATAGTGTCCTTAACCCCTCAGCACAGTTTTCTAAATTGTCCGTCTCATACTTAGAGGTTATTCCAGTGCTTAAAGTAAATCTGAAGGAAGTGCAGCTTATTCTAGACCTTGCAAAATTTCAATTTCCAGAATTGGTTCAAAAATGAGACAAAAATAACTCAAGGACACCACAACTTTTGGACAACTATGAAATGAAATTATTTCATATATTCTAACTAGCTGAATGATGAAATTCTTTTTATTAATTCCTAATTACCTATTTAATTGGAAGATAACTGTCTATTTAATATAACATGCAACTCAGGTGTAAATAACCTCTAAATTTCATATGAGGAAAGACGTGGCATTTTGAAAGGCATTAACAAAAAAGAAACAAGCACGTCTTACCATTTTGATGCCAGTAGAAAACGTGACTGGTTTGACAGGTTTGGGTTTTTCCAGTTGCATATCTAGTTGAGTAGATCTGTCCTTATGCTGAGCTAAAAGCAGCGAAGCAGGAAGAGTGGAGCTCTCCTGTAAACATATGAGGGACAAAATTTGAACGCTAAACCAAAACAAATCTTAATTAACACTGTACAGTCTTCAAAACTGCAGGCTGTGTCTGAAAGGCCATCACTAGCAGGGCAGTGTAATGCTACGTATCCTCTCTGAGAAACAGCTTACTGAAAACGATCATTTTCAGTAATAAGAAAAAGCTGCAGCAACCCCATAAACCACAGTAACCTGCAAACAACCATTTTTATAGAATCCACATTAAAGACAATGTAACAGGCTCCTTATTCCAACTGGCCAATGCAACTATATTTATTAAAATAAAAAAAAAAAAAATTATAACTTAATCAGAGAAGGAAGAATACCAAGTAGTGTAACTTGGATCAGATTTTTATCTAAGACACATTCTTTCTACCAATGAACTCAGACCAGTTTGAAATTGTTTCCCATTAGATTTCACCTGAGGCTGTTTGGAAACGATCCTTGCTCTGCTTTGCACAATGGCACTATTGTGAGTGCAACCAACAGCATATTTATTTTCTCCTTCACCAACTTATTTTTAGGGAAGCCAGCCAATTTAAAAAAAAAAAAATTATAAAAAGTAGTAAAATGAGTAGTTAAGCAAATGAACTACTTGAACTCTCAGAACAGAATGATTACTAAAATACATGTACATAACTGCATTCTTGAGAGTCAGAGAAGCATTGGCCAAATAATTTTCTAATAAACTAATGCAACTATCCACAGGCACACTGAGATCCTTCAGACTTCCTGGCTAGAAGGACTATAAAATTGAGAACATGGAAGAAGTTCACACAGATTCTTACCAGACTGCTCTAGCACAGTATTTTGTTCCCAAGGCCCTCAAACATCACTTACACTTCTGTTTTGCAGAACCAAGCAAATACTGAACTATGAACTGTATCTCTTACTCACAAAACCAAACAAACTTTAATAAACTGGACTGTGATTATTTTACTTATTCAGGTCAGGGTAAGAAGTTGGAAGTGTTTAAAGTCATAGGATGCCTGTTCATGGTATCCTAGAGGTATCTTCTGAAGTGATTATGAAGAACAGTTGTTGTACACTGACTTTTCAAATCACTTTCCAGTCCTCTTCCCTCTCTATTTTTTTTGTTACACTCACTTTGTCTTACAACTAGATTTCAAGTGCTAAAAGCAGGAAAAATCTCACACTCCAAGATCTGGTCCAGAGTCACAAATACAACTAAGGAACAGGATCCTACTCTTTTTTCTGTGATTAACCAGAAGGACAGGAGAAGTTAAAAACCTAAACCTTAATAATAAGAGATTTCTGTACAACTGGGAGAAGATTTGGACCACAGATGAACTAGTTTACACTCTGCATCTTCAAAGTGTTGTACATGTCTGTAACCACCATGCAGCAGCATGTGTTGCTAGCTGTCAGAAGAGCTTAAGGATGTTGGATTCATTTCATCATCAGAGTTAATATGCTGTGGAAGAAGGGAAAACTAGTTCTTTGGTTCATTTTGCCCTCTCACATTCCTTAGACGTTTGACTGCATTCCTAATACAATAACTAAAGGAAGCCAGTCTTTGTACCAACTCCACAAGAGTTCTCACAATGACCAGTAACCAGATTACACAGCTGTGGGAAACCCACACCGTGCCAGCAAGTTGTCACCTCTGTGATTGTTTGTCCTTTTGAATATGCACATAGCCTTCTGTTAACTCTTAACACACATGAAAGGTCCAATCCTGTAGCATTTATCCATATTAGCAATCTTCTGTATGGGAAAACAAACTAATAGTATGAAAAAAACTAGTTACATGTGAATATTTCCAAAAGGTTTGTCTCAAAACCCCTGAGGTTCTGGTAGAAGTGGAAATGCTTGATGTCTTTAAGGCACCTTGTCCTTTGCTTGACCCCAAGCTATGCCAAGGCCCAGTAAAACCTGCCACCTTTGCCACGTGCTGCGAGGTCATTTTGCTCATGCCTGGGCAGCCTGAGCTCTTGAAGAGGGAAGGGCAAGTCCCACAACACAGAAGACATCTAAAAGGAGATCTATAATCGCCGTATTCAGGCGAGAGACCTTATAAAGTAAACAAAGGAAGCACCTTAATATTTCACTCAGCCCAAATTATCGAAGTATAAAAGGTAAAAAAAACCCAAAACCTAAAACAAACCACACACAACTCTTCTAACAATACAGAAGATGTATTGGAGACTACAACTCCAAATTATAACAAGGTGCTCTGTTCCAAAAGTGAGTTTTATTGTAAAAAGAGGTCACTTACAATGAAGGTAATATAAAATCTGCTTAATTTACTATTGGGAGGCAACAGGTAACAGCCCGAGCAAAGCACCTGATAGCTCTTCAAGTAGCCTGCAGAGCCTGAGCTGCTCACAGTGCCTTGCTCACCTCTCCAGCAGGCAACACTGGCTTTCCCCTCCCTGCTTCCAGCCAAGACCAGGTTCATCCTCTCTGCATAAGCCTCTGTGCTCCTCAGGCTGACCAGGAACCAGAGCCTGCTGCATCACATTTTAAATAGCAACATTTCTGCACCATTTTATCTGCCCTGGACTATCTAAATTATAAGGTCTTTGAAGATCAGACAGCATTCTCACACATTTCAGTAAACAACTGAGACCTTTACTCAATATGGTAACACAATAAGTGATACATATAAGAAACTGCAAATCTCCTCAGTCATTAGTATTTAATCACCAAAGGCAAAATTCTCTTCTTGGAAGAGGAAAAACCCAACGTCTCTATCTGTACCATGCAAAAAAAATGGTCATAAATTCTCTCTCACTGACCAATATAAGGGAGGAATCTTGAGAAAAAGACCCAGGTTACGTGGGGTGTAGGTTCTCAACACCAGGTAGTGCATCCAAAAGAGACGATTCAAAACCAACTGGTGCAATGTCAGCTTCTTGCCTTCCTCTTCACTCACGATTCTGCCAAGTCAGCAGTTTTGCCACTGGTATCACTGCAGCCAGCACTTAATCCTTGCTGCTTTAGCACAGTACCACCAACCATAGATAAAAGATTTTATTTTTCACATGTTATTATTACATTATGCTTACACTTTGACTTTTGCTGCATTTCTCAAGTATTACTTCGGGTCAACTTCATTTTCAAATTTGCAGCACAGTATTAGAGGGATTTCAGAGACCATAGGAAATGTTTATTTGTTTAACACCTGCTGGTTTTCCAGAGATTTTCTAAGTCATTATACAAACACTTAAGTGCTAGTTTTATAAACCTTTAGTATTACAAAACAAGTTCGGGCCCAAATTTAAGTTGACTGTGCCCCTTCATAAACAGAAATAAAACTTAAAATTGCCCAGTTTCCTTTCTCAGCCTTTAAAAATCACCTTTCTGTTGGTTTTAGAATATTAAGATATGTTTTAATAACAATACATATGCAATCATAATTAAAACTACCTATTTTGGTTATGTTTTAAGGATTATTTATAACCATTCTTTCCACAAGCCATCTGTTGCAGCAGGCTTCCAGTAAAAGCAATTGCTGTGCAAAAAAAATAAGTCACACACACCACCACTGGTCTCTATTAAGTTAAGAGCATGTTTCAGAAACCAGTTCAAAATCCCTGTACTGAGTTAAATTCAAGTGCATAGTGGAGTTTTTATTAATTGATTCACTACTCAAACTATTTCTAATTGTGTGGACTGCAAGTAGTTCTACCTGTAACAAGACTGCTAGATGCAAAGTTAGAATTGAGGATTTTCAAAAAACCTTCCTGCTCATCTCTGCTTCTCTCTACAGAAAATGAAACGTCAGCTCCTTTCAGCAAAACCAATGACAGGTTGAGAAGACTCCTAGCTTAGAAAAAGGCAGCTCTCCAGGAAGCCCTGAAACTTCTAAATCACACCTCAATGCTCCCTCATGTCTGTGCCTGCTGCACTGGCTCAAGGAGGAACTCTGCTTTTCCAGGAAAAGTAGGAAAGCATCTGTATCTTGAATAAGAACTGAGAAAGCAGGAATTAACTCTATACTGATGTGAGACAAACTTGAGAAATTTTGATTTAAATTTGCCAAGCAGCCTTAAACTATACTGACAGAGCTACACACATGTATGCATGCATACTTTTTTTTTTTTTTAAAGTTTCCTTCAAGGTTAAACACAGACTGTTCTCACAGGGGTTAGAGCATGTGAATGTGTGTGCATGCATGTCTGTACACACGTGTATTAAAAAATTCAGATGTGAATCTTGTTTAAATAACACATTTGAGCTTCTCAATCATTGCATTTCAGATGCAGAATCAGTAGCAAATTCAGCCAAAGACAAGATTAACACCATTTCCAGGAGTAGCACAAGTTTTATTTCAGCTGTCTATGCACCTCTCCAATCCAAGCTTCATTCACATCAAAAAGAGCAATTCACGCACAAAAAGTTTTCAGTAAGAGAACATTACACACTCAAGGCAACAGACCTTTTTAGTAGTTTTTGAATACAAAGGGACCACTTCTATCATTTAGGTGCTCTGACTCAAAATGGGCTGACTAATGCTCAGATAATTCTTCCTTGCAGAGGAGGTGGCTGAGCTCATAAACTAGCTCCTCATGACCATTTGGCTTCAACACACCAGATTACAAACCACTACTCAGGCCTGCTAGCAAGCCAACAGCACCAAGAGTTCACATTATGGCTGAAACAATTTAGTAGCTCCTCTCTAGGCCCCTCACAAATTGCATGACCGGCCACACACCAAAGCAGAGACAACTGTCATCAGCTGAAGGTGAAACAAGCAGGGAGGTACATGGCCTCAGACATGGCAGAACCTCACCCATCATATGTCAGGTTCAAGGTGGAGTAGTCACCATATCAGCTGTACAAGCCATCCTTGATCACAGTCAAAGCCTGTGGTTTTCATATTGTCAGTGAATTAAATAGAAATCAAGAGTTTTATAATAGCTTTTCTTCAGATATATGGTCAAATGTCAACTAATAAGTAAACTGGTAAAGTGGCAAATAAAAAAAAAAAAGCAAATTGTGAAATACACCTCCACTTGTCAATTAACAACAGGAAAATAGTTCCAGTGGCAGCTCACTAGGCAAATAAATACAGAAAGATCAAAACAGGTAGAACCAGGGAAATAGCTTTCTTAACCAAGAAACCTTCTGCACTTTTCTTTCGTAGAATCTTATCCAGGATTAATTTTGTGTTGAAACAGTCAAGAATGCTATCCTTAAATTCATTTCTAACAAGCACTGAACACTCTGGAAAACGAGTCAAATTAAATCTATGAATTCCAGAAATACTCTTCCTCCAGTCCTTAACTTGCCAAAACCAGAGTTGTTTGTAACACTGAAATGAACAATAGGTGAGAGAACGGTAACACAAAACATGCAAGACAGGGAACCAGGAAGGGGCAGACGTGTTAATTCTGCACAGTTAACCATGGTAAGGTGAATGTCAACGTACGTGCTGCTTGCTCTACTGTGGAGCGTTCAAAGCCTCTGGTTTTGTTACTCACTAAATCATCCAGGAGTGCCTGCTTATTCTTCCTTTTTAACATCTGTTGTAGTTGTTCTTCCTTCTGCAGGAGCAGGCGCCTTTGTTCGCTTTCCTGTCGCTCTACCTCTAAAGCTTCCTCCAGCTCTTCCTGCTCCCGCGTCTGAAATGGAAACCAGAAACCAACTCAGAGCAATCTTCCTCATGGGGTTGACAGAGTTCACTCATAGCTCTACCTCCTACCAAAGGACCTAGGACAGACCAAGCAATAGGAAAGCAGTGAAATTCTACCTTTTAAGGTAGGATTTTACATAATATTTTAAGGTGATGATGGGTGATGATTCTACCTTATTGTGCAGTGCAAAGTTAAGATTATTTCCGCCCCCCACCACTCTCTGCAGCAGGAAGTAACCATCTGGATCTTGGCTCATTAAAAGTTAGAAGATGCCAATGGGTTTTCCTTTCACTTTCACTCCAAAATGAACACCTCTTTGTTCCCACACATCCTACTTCAAGTGATGTAAGTGGGAGATCGAAAATATAATCCCACAATCCTGTTCCCAGTCACCCCCACATCAGCTACATCTTCTTTGTGAAGTACACTGTGTGCTTATCAGTGGTGTAGAAGAAAAATAAGAAACTGCAAGTCTATTAATAGAGAAGCTTATAAGCAGAAACATATAACATATTTAAGCATGAACTGTAAAGATGTCACATTTGCATAAAATGAGGAATTTTTCCTATAACCTGTACCACAGTCGTGACACAAGATGAAAAGAGATTGCTAGTATGAAGTAACTAGTTTTGTTTCAGGATTTACTTCTTGAGAAGTCTTCATTTAACCAGTAAACTATTAACTATCAGTATTTTAAAAAGTGAAATTAAAAAAAAAAAAAGGGCTCGAAGACAGGGAAAAATAAAAGGATTAAACAATTTTATCCAGAAGAGGAAATAAAAAGAACATCAGTTTGGTTGTAAGAAGGTACAGGGCAAAATACACGTGAAGCATTTTCCAAATCTTCCTCACCAGAAATATTGAAGGGAGATTCAGTAAAAGCACAGAGGTAATTACAATTTTATAAAACTTACATGGATGATCTATGGATGGAATTCACTTCAGAAAAACATCACCACGGCCAAGAGCTTAGTAAAATTTGTTCTTATTACAAAGCACAGCTACCTGATACAGGCCAGAATATGTTGAAAAACACCCCTTTACCAGACAGATCAAGCCAACGTGCCTCAGTCAGGCCCAGTTAATCCTGAATGCAAGACCTGAGAGACCTCGTCACCTGCCACCAAGTCAACAGAAGCTGCTTTCACTTTGTAACTAGCAGTAACACTGGTAAAAAGCTGGTCACCAACCAGTGACCACCTCAAACTGGATTCTCTTTGCATCTAATGAAAGAAATAAAAACCACACAAACAAGAAAATCCCCAAGTTGCTAAATGAGGCTATTTCTGAGAATTAAAGGTTCAAGTTAGTTCAGTCAACAGAAGTGAGGGACTCAGGGTCTTTAAAGACATTCCAAGCCTCCCCACATTTATGTCTAAAGACTGCCCGCAATTTGCACTGAAAGAGAAGAAAACTCAACAGGAAGTACTGACAGATCTACTAAGAAGAACCAGCCCATAAAAATTATAGCCAGAAATAAGTAAACTGATGTACAAACATAAACTAGATCAGACTACACAAAAAAGGAAGAATTATCTCAAGTCAAATCAAATTATTTCTGAAAGGAAGACCAAACAAAGCAGTAAAAGACAGACAAGTTCAGTTGGCAGAGGGTTGTGTCAAGCTTAAAGATAATCTAGACACAGACCCAACATCTAAAGAAATAAAGATGATCATGATGAAGTCTGGAGTAAACTCAAGAAGACAAGTGAAAGAAGTAGAAAGTGTAATAACATTTCGTCGCATTTAAGGAAGGACAGTAGAGAAAAAAACACATTCACATCATAGAGTATGGTCAAAACTATTTCGAGACTGGAAAAGGAGCAAGTGAACTTAAACATCTAGCAACAAGGCAGGAAGTAACTGGTTACCCTAGGACTGGAGGATGGCAGATATTTAAGGAAGAAGGTATGTTATATATATTTATATATATATAAATAT